TCGAGACTGGGAGGACTGTCAGGCCCAGCTCAGGAGGGCATTCGGACGGCCACAGCACGAGAGGCACGAGCCCAGAGTTGAGAGGCGACAGCGAAGCAAGAGGCCAAGGGAACCAGCACCGAGGGAGGCGGGGCTGGCCAGAGAGAGGAGGGGAGCTCCAGCCCAGCGGGAGGATGAGCCCGCAGGGCCCGCATTGGCAGAGGAGTCGTTCCCTTCTTGTGGCCTCCGGGCGGTTGAGTTTCGGCGGATTACGAGCGAAGAGTTGAGGCCACCCTTGCCACTGCCTTCAACGCAGGAGCTGGACATACCAAGAGAGACGTCATTCCGAAGCTTAGCGACTCATCTCAATGTATCCCAATGGGAGGCCTCACGGCTGGGAGAGGGCTCAGTTGAGCCAGCGTGCTACGTGCCACTGGAGGAGCCCCTCAACCCCGAGATGGAGACAGACATGCGAGACCGAGAGGAGCCGCAAGGTCCTGAGATGGCAGTCAAGCGGCCAGATCCGGTACGACCTCAGGGTAGAGAGGTGATCACGGTTGGGGACGACACCCCTCCATGCTCCCCAGCTCCAGAGCCAGCACAACTTTCATGGCCAGAGGGGATTCCTGAGCCAGGCAGTGAGGAGATTCTGGAGTTTCCTCCTGAGGCCACCGCTATGCCTGAGCAGGAGGCAGAGGCGAAGGACTAGGGAGTGTGTAAGAGAGCGAGGATGGAGGCGCCCCTTGGCTTGCCCTCGGCCACGTAGGTGACCAAGAGCCCGGATATCGAGGAACCCGTTTCAGCGGAGTTACCGCCAGTAATGTCGTGCGCAAGCGAAGGGATGGAGGTGGAGGCGCCGACTCCAGGGAGCCGGGGACCGCAAGTGGAAGGAACCCCAAGAGAGACCCGCGAAGAGAAGTCCGCCCGAGTGCGGGTCCGTCTGGACGAGATACACGCAAGACAGGCTGAGATGGAGGCGGCGGGGATAGAGCCGACACAGCCGGTCGAGCCCAGGACGAGTGAGCAGAGAATTGACGAGTTGTGGGCTAGGTATGAGAGCCGGAGGGATGCAGCCCGCCAGAGGTCATGAGAGGCAGGACGGGCGGACGAGGAGACGAGTGAGTTGAGGGACATTGGGTACTTGGGGTTCTCCGCGACCAGGCAGGCGATTGAGCGCATGGATCGGAGGGTATGCGGGACGGCAGTTACATCTTTCCAGTGGTATAATCTACTTAGCAATGAGCTCAGGGTTAAGGAGTTGGAGGGTAGAGCACCTGACTACCCAGCTTGCCGAGGAGAGGGCGAGGAGCCAGGCTAGAGAGGTTGAGTGGGAGAGGGGATTTGGGGAGATGGCGGCCGTTGTGGATAGGCTCTCGGCAGCCTGGGAGGCTAGCCAGGTGGGGCGAGCCGGTGCCGATGGCCAGGGCCGGGGGATGCGCGCCTCGCCGAGCCAGGGAGCAGCAGTGGAGATCCCTCGACAGAATGAGCCTGTGGAGGGGGTGCCCTTGGACACGGTCGGAGAGGAGGGGGGTGCACAGGAGTCGCTTATGGCCATGTCCACGGAGAGGAGAGGTTCGCGTTTGCATAAGCTGGCGGCAGCCATGGGGATAGGCACTCCACAAGAGAGGCCTCAGAGACTCGATGCTCCAGAGCAGGCCCCGAGGTTGGGAGAGTTGAGGGCGGAGCTGGGCTCCTGGGCCACGGAGACGGACTCAGGAGGGCCCGACTCGCGACAGCAGCAGCAGCAGCAGGAGGTCATGAGTGAGCCCACCATCGTGGTGAGCTCTCAGCCGTCTGGATTATGTGGGGATGAGATGGTGGGTGTGACAGAGAGGGCTCATGAGGAGGGACCCCGAGCGCTGGATATGCCAGACTGCAGGCCAGGGAGCACAGCCGCACGAGGGGGTGAAGGTGCTGAGGCTATGGAGCCCGGATCTCAAGGCCATATGGGATCGTCCTCGTATCATGAGGTGACTAGTGGGACCATGGGGGCGCCTTCGGCATCCAGTTCGCAAGGGAGAAAGAAGAAGACTACTAGGTGGCATGATACCTCTTGTTTTTGGTGCAAGGAGGGAGGACATAGAGTCGTGGACTGTCCAGAGCTCCTTGAGGATAAGGCCGAGGGGCGAGTTGCTGAGGTCGACGGCAAATTCTATGACAGACAGGGCAGGATAGTGGAACGAGCTCCATATGGGGGCAGGGCTCAGTTATATAGGCAGAACCAGGAGGAATTATGTAAGTAGGGATCGGTCTGTCTATATATTGATAGGACTAGAGATCCTTGACACACACAGGGCGGGGTTAGGGGTGTACATACCTTGAGTCAGTTGAGCGGGCCCTAGATGTGTGTGTGCGTAGGAGTGGTGGGATGAGTTTCTATCCGATTGTACATATGCGTGTGACTTTTGTTCGCTTGTTTCCTCTTGAGTTTCTTCGTGGGCTACGACCCAGGGGTAGAACTCAGTTGTGTGATATATGAGACCATTTAGTTACATTTGGTTTTGTGACTCAGAGGYTATTGCTGCTCTGAATGGGATGTGGGAGTTTATAGCACTCGGGGTGTGAGTTTCCCTAGCAGGGGAGGACAGGGGCTAGGTATTATGTGGATGAGTAGGCGGATGCTATGTTCCCGAGTGTATTTGATGAGTGTACAGTGGGGTTATGAGTCCTACTCAGACAGGCGGGGTATTGAGTTGAGTGTTCGTGTTCGATTGTTGGGGGAGGCATTCTACTCCCTGAGTGTACAATGAGTTGAAATCCTATGGGACTTGTCTTGTGACGATCACTATCGCTTTCACATGTGTGGATTTATCTCGATGAATGTTTGGCTTTGTGTGAGAGATGTACAGGATACATCTCATGGGCATGATTGTGTAAATTGTAAAGTTGTCTACCCTTAGGTATACTCGTGCGGTCTGCTGCAAGCGGACGAGAGGGCAGGGTATAAGGAGGGGAAGTGCAACCTGTTTGTGAAAACTGTGAGAATCCCACAGGATTGATGGATTTAGAAATTTGCATGTTCGGCCATACTAAACATCGTTGCCTAAATCGTGTAGAGACCCAGAAGGTGGTCCCTCAGCTTGAGTTGTTTGATGATTAAGACTCCCTTCATGATGCTGGGAGGTGGGAATTACAATGTGTGGAGACCCCTTCATGGTTTTGGAAGAGGTCGTGAGAGGAGTCATCCCATACAGGAAGGGGATGGCCGGGAAATCTTTTGTGAAAGGCACCCTTCACCACGTAAGGGTGAGTAAAAAGTTGACCGGTATGGAAAKCATTGTTTGTATTGATAAAGTCTGACGAGAAGGAACCATGTTTGTTTGAAGCATTTAAAAAGGGCGAGAGATGCCTCAGGATGGGCGACTGCTGGCTCTGATCAAGTCAGGAGCCACGGCCATGTGAATCCGACAAGGATGGTTTGTGATTGAGCGAAGGATGCCGTGCCAGGCCATGGTGGGCCCAGATGGGGACCTGACATTTTTGTACTGGACTGCAGAAAAGCCCGAGAGAGGCTACAAGCTTATACGTGTGTATTTTGTTTGACTGTCAGGAATTTGTTGAAGAAGGCGAAGAATGCCTTCATAGGTCCACTCGAAGCCCGTGTCCCTAGTTATGGCTCTGCTTACGAGAGAGAGGCTAAATGGGACACCCAACGAGAGGTCGGCGGTTGTCTAGGACGGAGGGGACGAGGATAGTTTGGGGGCCTTTGGAACTTATGCTGTAATATTGATGCGTAATACACCGGCGTCCTGGTGTCGGGGCAATGGAGACCCAGGTTGAAACCTTGGCAGCATATAGTTGTGTTGGCATGGTCTGATGGAGGCCTCAACCCTGAAGTCTGTCGGCTAATCGGATTGGTTCTGATCTCGTCAACATTTGGAATGTGATGGAAATCTATAGCTTTTTTATTTGGCCACGCGACGGGAACGTCACTTAATATGGTCCGGTAAGKTKTCGGCGCGAATACCCTTACAAGGGTATCCGCCCTGGTTTTTGCAAGTGACARAAAGGYTTGGTTAACCTGGATTCTGAGTGCCCATGYGGAAAATGTGAGGGTCGTTCGCGTGTGAGCAAAGGTCTGCCTTGTCCMGGTAGGCAGTACGTGGGCGTGCAATTTTAAGGCGCGCGTGTAATTTTTTCTGATTAAGTGGGCGGTCGGGGTAGTCGGCCAACCCATACCAAAGCCACGAGATTTATTAGGGGATGAAGGTCCGTCTTTTTGGTTGGCGCGCGCGACCGACGGTAGGAATGGCGTGCCGGTAGGCGCATGGGACGGCTACGGCGCGGGGCGGTGGCCCAGCGTGGACTCKTAGGGGCCGTGGGTACGAATGTGGGTCGAAAGAGTGGCCGGAGCGGTATCCTGGCCCGGAGCGTCGTGTGGTACCACCTTGTATGTGAAGCCGCGCCCATTGGGCTCAGGCTTGGGCTTAGCCCTGTCGGTTACGACATTGGACTATTGCAGCGGAGGTATGGGGATCGAGGCCGGCGGGCGGCRGCGCGAGAGCGACGGAGCAGCGAAAGCTGAGGGGTTGAGGGTCCCGCGGGACTATCCCCCTCAGTTTTTTGTTGGGAGAGCCCGGACGCGGACCCGCGCAAAAGGGTTTTTTTTTTACGGAAGGGCCCGCGGAGGCCTGCTCCTTCTTTTTCGTTGGGGGCCTGTGTCAAATTTTAATTACTCTATTTTGTCTTTGGTCCTTAGGGCTATAGGGGGGCCGATGCCGCGCTTGGAGACCCCGGGGGATACTGATTTGATCCACACGACATGAACATCAAGACAAAGAGGGGTTGGCTGGTTGCTTGGCAGGCAGCCGCGGAGTCCACCTGGTCAGAAGGGGAGGTTGCCAAAGCCCCGTGTGAACCTAGCCGAGAAAGCGCGCCAGGGGAGGGAGCGCGAGGGGCGGGGGAAGGATAGCTTGACCCCGGCGCAAGGATGGCACGTGGGAACCGAGAGAAAAGGGGGGGGCGGGTTTGTGAAATGAACCCGGACGTGGAAAGAGCCGGGTACGACGGAAGAGGGGCAGTGGCTGAGATCTTCGGGGGGGGCGCTGCCGAAATCGGAGCGATACGGTGAAGATCCGACTGACCGTGTGTAGGGTGGYGTACGCACTTYTGCGAAGTGAATCCGACGGGGATCAGGCCGGKYGCCTACAAAGGAGGATAGGGGAACGGGAACGAACGGGGACGCATTCTTGCGTCAGGTGTGTTCGATAACCGGGGTGGCAAAAAGAGTAGTCGGGCGGAGGGTGAAGGCAGCAACCCGGTCAGAATGGAATGAATCCGACCTAGAATCGCGTCTGGATTCATTCGGAGGAGAGAAAGGACAAGGAGGGGACAGTGAACAGTGGAAAAGGGGCGGCCACGGTCGGAAGTCCTTAGGGACGTCTGTAGAAGATGGAGATGAGGCAAAAAAGATTTGCTCCGGCTGCGCAAGGGTGATGAGCATAGATCCGGGAAGAACCTGGACGCGGATCCGACCCRGGACGTGTAACAAAAAGAGAAGGGGGAGAATAGGTGGGATGAGCCGAGGGGCTGACAAGGCGCKGGGCAGATTTTCGCAGCGCCCGTAAGATTGGAACGGCATAGAGAAAACTTGTATAAGCCTTGCGCACGGTCGACGCGTACAAGCCCAAGAAAAGGGGTCAGTTTCGTGCAGTAAGGCAAGGCAGTGTGGTGGCCGCGCGGACTTTGAAAGGTCGCGGGGTGCTGCCAGCGCCCGAGTCCTTTGGGACATCCGTTTAGAATTAGGACGACGGAGAGAAGTTTAGCGCAGCCCCTGCGTAGGGCCGAC